AAAAAAAAAAAAAAAAAAAAAACAGTGGGAAAAATGCAACGGGGCAACACAACGGCATGGAGACTGGGCACCACAAAAAGGATGCAAATGATACGAGGGCGTCTCGCCGCTACGTCGCCGTGCCAGTTCAACATGTGCACGTTTGCAGCGTGGCGTCATTGTAGCAATTAAAAAAAAAAATGGATCCTCCCATCGTCCCTGTGCCACCAGCATAAGTGTGTACAGTTCCTCTTGCATACGCGAGCGCAGACACACACAAATAAACACGTTTGTAGCACACACTTACGCACTAGGACGACACAAAAGCATTTTATGTTAATCTTGTTTCGCTGACCAAGTGGGTGGAGTAGCCACGGGCACACTAATCCTCCCCAGCGGCAGCAGCGTCGCCCTTGCGCTTCCTCCGCACGTACTTCTTCTTGCGTCTTGCTCTGTAGGCCTTGTGGTGGCTACTCTTGTGCCCCTTCCCATGGCCCATCTTCTGCTCCTCCCGGGGATTCTTCCGAATTGTTCGTTTCACCTTTTTGCTTTGTTTGGTCACATCTGCATGGAGGGGGAGGGAAGTGGAAGACGTGTCATGACGTGCACTCGACGTGATGAATGGAAACACACTCGATGTAAAACGCTGACTTCAAACGTGTTCCATGTACACCTTCGTCACACTGATGTGAATTATTTTTTTTTTTTTTTTTTCGACTCACCTTTGGGTGCATCCCGCGCATTGTCCACACGTTGAATCTTCTCAACCACAAGTTCACGGCCCTACGATGGTAGTTGGAAAAAAAAAAAAAAAGGGGGGAGGGATAAAGATGGCCAGCCGACACACTAACACCGTCCGCGCATTGAAACGCAACGGTCACCTCACAATGTGCCTGGAGATGTGGGCAAGAGGGGTGGGGTGTGAAGGGACCCATCTGCTTGGCTTACATTTACTGAGTGGCCGTGAAACATATTAATGGCCTTCTTAACGGAGCTTCTGTTTTGGAAGAGGACAAAGGAGACTCCCTGCGGGGGTGGGGGTGGAACGCACGCATGTGGTGGACGCACAGTAGACAGAGCGTAGCGGATGCAGCGTAGCCCATGCAGGCCAATGAGAGCAGTGCGACAGAGTGCCTCTCCCAACATGTACAACAGATGACTATGAGTAGTGTTCTCTTTTGTAGAAGCACAATTCACCTCGTCTCTGCTCTGCTCTGTTCTGCTCCGCCCTTACCGTGGACACGCTCGTCCGTTCGTCCCTCAAAATGCGGATGCCTGCGAAGAAAAAAAAACGGGGGGGCCAACGCACAAGTGACACGATTGGGGTGAAAAATGGAAACTCCTGGCTCGGCTAGCGGCCACTCCACACACGGCACGCTCACACACGCGCATGCATGTCGCACCTTTTATCTCGTCCACGTCCTTCAACAAGTTATACAAATCTGACTCGTTCAACTTCCTATCTAAGTTCTTTATGCACACAGACTTCTTCCTGTTGAAGTTGGGCTTCTCCCCCAGCATGTTTATTCGAAGCACATAGCCCTCGTAAACCATTCCCTGTTTGGGGGGTGCAAAGGTTGTGGTGATGAAAGTGAAGCAAACGCAGTTGCCTAGCGCAGACGAAAGCAACGCCCCCTCCCCCCCTTCATGTCAAATCTGTGACACAAGGAGGACCATCTGTCCACACAAATGTATGCTTTTTACATTTTTGCTGAGCAAATCGGGCAGACTCTCCTCCTTCTTCAGAGTGATGATGGCGTTCTGGTTGTCCTTGGCATCCTAACATGGGGGCAGACGACGGGTTCCAATGTGGTTGCGATCGTGCGATCGTGCGATCATGTAATGTCGAGTGGGTTAGGACAGCAGTGCACCGCATACCCTTGTGCAGAGCTCTCTGCTGGCAGGTTGTCCATCACTCCTACACCCTTACCGTAAACTTCTTCAAAATGACCCCCAACTTTTTCCTCCCGGCGTACGCCTCCTCCATAGGTTGAGATCGAAAGCGGACCTGATAGGCAGCGGGTGGTGGTGCATACACATGTGAGCAGTGTCATTGTACAATTGTTAAAATGGACTGAAGAGTCCCCTTCTCCGATATGGTCGCAATATGTGTACATGTGTGTGCTTGCATTTCATATATGCTTAGGTAAAGTACCGATTCAACAGCGGACTTCTTCAAATCCAACAACCGTAGCAGCTTCACTTTGTGCATGTCCTTAAGTGGAAGATTCCCAATGAAAACGGTTCGCTTAGCTTTATCTGGTTAGGTACAGAAAAAAGAAAAAAAAATTTTTAACACATGCGGGATTTTTTTTTTTTTTTTTTTTTTTCTCATATGAGGGGAACCCACATTGTTAGCATGGCAACGGGGCCTCTTCGTCCTCCTCATTTGTCCACGCTTTGTAGAACTTACCTTCCTGTGACACTTCGTCGCAATATCGTGGCTTCCCTTTTGTCTTCTTCCTGTTTGTGGGCTGCTTCTCATTCGCCTTACCACCTACGACATGTCATTTGGGCAAAAAAAAAACAGGACAAAGCTGAGCACCGCTATACAAATGGCGTCGCAGGGAAAAGACACTGTTCCGCCACTGTGGAAGAAACACAAATGCGTAAACGCCCTTTTTCCCCCTTGCTCTTATGTCCAATTATTCATTTGTGCTACTTGTTGAAGCTGTTCTCTCTGCCATCCCCCACCCTTACCTTCTTCATTAGACCGAGGAGGCCTTTCATTCCTCTTCAAAAATGAAACGATCGACGATATCTGCTGCCCTTCTGTTTGTTCCTCGTCTTGGTTCACCTCACAGGGGCTACCACTATCACCACCTTCTTCTCTACCCCTCGCGGCGCTATTTTCTTCCTGTTTCTTCAACATATTCTTTTCCTTTTTTTTCTTCAATTTTTTTTTTTTCTTTTTTTTTTTGTTTATCTTTTTGTTTCTGTGGTTTGGCTTCCTGAAAAGCTGCTTCTCTTTCCCCTTTAGGTTCGTTTCGGGCTCGCCATCGTTTGCCACCTCGACGCTCTGCTCCCCTCTGTCCGTTTCACCACCGCTCGTCATATCTTAACCCTTTTCCTTTTTTTTTAAATTATTTTTACAAACGTGGGGAGAGTCCTCTAATACGAGATTCTCGTCCACTCTGCTATGTCCTTTACCAAATGTCCTCACGTGAGATTACGAGAGGAGCAGTAGGATGTGTTGTAGCAGAATAAAAAATACACGTGGTTTCTTCCATCATGCGGGGTCACCGCGGTTAGGACTGTTGCACGAAATGAATAATTAAACCGCTATATCTACGCGCCAACATGTTTTTTTATTTTTTTTTTTTTTTTTAAAGTTAAACGGGTTGCGACCTTC